AAATCAATTAACAAACGGAGACGTAACATAAATATTCTTAAAAAAATGGGAAGGATTGCCTAGCACAATTAATATACATATCAATACATCATAACAAGTACTCCATTCAAGCTTAGTGAACATCCACTTTAAAATATTGGGAAATAGAAAAACATAACTACTCATTAGTTTTAAACTGTCCAATACAGATATCATTTTGATTTAAAATATATTAAAGATATTAGCTGACATTGATATAAACTGCAGTTTCATTAATAGTATGAGATAATAAAACAGAGCAAGGTAAACTTTTAGATTGCCATAACCATAAGCTTTATTGCACATTGTGTTACATTTGTTTCTTAATTATGTAAAAACTAAGGATGTGGGCTACTATGTTCTGCTGTTTTTCATTATAACAGCTTCTGAATGAAATTTGTAAGCATATGATTTTTCCTACTAATATGAAACCTGCATAAAGCAGAACAATCAAACCAAGTCAACAGAAATTTTTCCATAAAAATCTACCACATTAATTTCTCTTCCTCACTGAAATAAAAACCATAATTTATCTTACAAAAAAAAGGATGTTTTTGAAAGAATTGTGTTGATTTTATTTTAATAATTGGGATGAAATTAAGCCCAAATGAATCATTTGAAAAAAGTGTTTCAATACACTTGTCCAAAGCAAATTTGTTTCTTGCTCACCAGTTGAATACACCAATTTGCATTAGTAAGTAAATAATCACTTAAGAACATGGAAGGTCCAAAAAGCATTAGGTAATTTTGAACAGATATATAACTATCAATTTAATTAAAAAGGGCAGTGCAATAACTTCTAAATTTTCTTCTGTACACTAAGTAGATTATAAATAGTACTATTCCTTCACATAGAAAATATTCAAAGTTAAAATTTTAGTCCATTATTTTAATACTCACTCTTCAATTGTAAAACATGCAATTCTTTTCTTCAGACCCTCTTTCTTTTGTTTCTCAATTAATTTTCTACCCAAAAATGGAGTATCAGTTTTTAATTTACAAGTGAATGCCAGCCCACCCTCTAGTGGAGTGTCATCCATACGTATTTCAGCATGCCAGTGACGATAACCTGAAAAAAAAATTAACAGGTATTAAAATTAAATATCTTGAGGAAGTAAATATAAAAAAAAAAGAGAGGCAAAAATGTTTTATGATAAAACCATGGAAATAATGAAAACTTTCATATAAGTTTAATTTCTAAGTAAGAAATATAGTTTATCAAGATATTTAAATGTTGTTTTTCTACTCCTGTTGCACTCATTCCTACATGTAATGTCCGAAATATATGTATTTAACATGTTCTGATTTCAGCAACAGTGTTATGACTGACTTCATTATATGAGCAGGTTTTAATGAAACTTTTTGATTATTTTTGTTTTAAACAATTACATTGTTACTAAGGGATTTTCTTTTTTTTTTGGAAATATAAGAGTCTGCTGCTAATAAATGTATCAGTTTTCAACAAAGTGACTGCAAAACAGTTGGCTCAAATTTTGACATTAAGGCTATAGCTTAAAAAAAAAAAAAAGAGTAAAAATTAGAAAAACTAATCCAGAGAAATACTCTGTTAATCATCTCAAACATATTGAAAGCTTATGAAATCACATTAAATTGTTGGGAGAAAAATATCTCTGTATTAAGAAACAATACAGAGAATATATATATATATATATATATATATATTAGTTATAGTAACTGCTACTTATAACTAAGAAACATGCACAACTGTCTGCAGGTAGAGAAGGGTGATACAGATGTGGGACATCATCGGCTTGAGCACCCACACCTTGCTCTTCTAACTTATTCTTACTTTTCTTCCATATTATTTCTTTATTTAACATCTGATACTAGCAAACAGAGGTTAAGACAGGTAGATGGGGTATCCACACCACAGTGTTAGTCCTACTTCTGCAATAATCTCCAAAACCATGAGCACATTTTAGATCCCACATTAAAGCATGTGCTATGGTGAGTTTTCAAAGTTATGCAGCATTTTTGTTGTGGTAGTTAAGGCCTGTTTTGATAATTAAAAAATATATATAAAACACACTATTGTAATAATCTCTAATGTTAAGGGCAGCAATGTTTTTAAATTCACTTCCTGACTACTGATTTAATTTGTTTAGGAAAAAAAAGATGGGTGGAGTTGTTAGTACCACCTAACTCAGTATGAGAAAGTGCTTTATTGTGACCAATTAGTTCTTGGTCAAATCACACAAGAGCAATTTCAAAATTGGTCAGTCAAAAAATCACTTTCATATAGGAATGTGATATGAATAATTATAAAAATAAAATTTCTTCATCTGTGTCTAGAAATGCCACTGGTTTAATTTATTAAACTAAACACACAATGGTTACAAGCTATTGGGTTTGGTTGACAACAAACAGCTGCTATATTAACCAGAGATGTCAGAACCAGGGGTGCTATATCACCCACAATTTTACATACTTTACTTATATAGCAATAGGGAATTATATTATATTAATTTTCAGGGGGACATGCCCCCAAACTCCTATAGATTGAACAGCCTTTGGCAACACATTAGCTGCTTTTAGCAGCTTCTTATTAAAATCTGCATGTCTAGCCAAGCACTCCACCTTGCAACTCCTTCTTACGCCACTAATAATGTTTTATATACAACTTTCTTTAAAAAATTGATTCCATGCAATGTTTTCAGTATATATGATGACTTGTGACATAGAAATAAATCTTATATGAATATCTAATAAAAACGTGCAAAAGATATAAAACCCATAGTAACATAGTAGCCACATGAAAAAGGATAGTTGAAATGGTAACTGTAACAGCTATTCATTCTATTTCACATTTTTCAGTTAGTATCAAAATACTCATATGATAAATATCAAAATCATCAGTATTTCTACTTTTTATACATATTGTATCAAAATTGAAAAGATCACATTTGTGTTGTTAGTGGCTATACAGATATGTGCATAGATATATATCATTTCATTTTTCTGTTTTTGTGTTATGTATCTCTGTATAATACTACCTTTACTGATGCTAGTGTAGTGTTTTAGTGACAAAAATAAGATTGTAATATTATTATGACAAATATAGAGGAACAGCAGATTAAGAAAACAAACACAGTCTTACCTTTCTCAAGACTGAGTGAATCAATAGCACGATAACCAGCATTGACTAGCCCGTAATTTTGACCTTTATCCCATAATGCTTTGTAAACATGGAGACAGCTATCCTTTGGAATGTGAAGCTCCCATCCCAATTCACCAACAAAAGACAACCTTAAAGCCATTACCTAATAATGTATACAATTATATTGTATTGCAAGATTTCTTAGAAAAGAATATGTAACAATAATAATAATAACCTTTTGAATTTATTAAAATCATACATTTTTAACTAAGCTGCTTAAGTATACAAGATTTTTGTAACTGAAAAGTTTGATTCGTTATTGTTTTGAAAATATTCTAAATGGGCTACAAGTAATCTTTGATGAGAAAACTTATACTAGGAATTACACGCACAGCTATGAACAATGTTTCTATTAACTCTTTCCATATGGGATTGGTCGATTTGACCAACCTTGTAACCACAAAGTAACTATAAGAGTTTTCATACTATAATTTTTAATACATTTTGTGTATCTTCACAAAATTTGGCTATCCTTCAGTAAACATAACAAGTCTTATACCTAACAAATAATCAGATTCTTTAATTAAGTATTTTTACTAAAGATTGTCCATTACTCATTTTTCTTTCTAGAATGGCTTCAGATTTTAACAGGAGACAACAACTGTTTATCCTAAATACCTTAGAGCTTGTGATAGTCTACATCTGTTTATTCAATCTTATTGTTTTATTGCCCTTTGAACCGTATCTAACTACTAATCCCACCACATAGTTAGTAAATCATTGGGCAAATGTGTAACTCACATTAACATCTGAATGACATAATGCACAAGCTGCTCCCAAACATACCTTGTGAAGAATTTGTTGTTGTTTTTTCATTATTATCTTACCTAATTTAATCTTATCTAACCCAATAAGTTTTTAATTTCTTATGTTTTAATTACTTTTATAACAATAGAGAATATACACCAAAAACAAGAAATATGGTACTTACCTTTGACCTTGTTTGGTTTGCTGTTGGTTGCCAATGAAATTTAAGCTTACTTTTATTTTCATAATGGTGGTACTTAACTTAATAACTTAACTAATGCACCTAAGAACACAGAATAATAACATGCACAAACCAAACAATTTCCTATAGACATTATAATTTAAATGGCTTAATAACAAAGAATAGAGGAGTTTAAATTAATTCCCTTTGCTGCTTGATCTGAACATCATGAGATAAACTTTTACACTGAAGATGAAATTGACAATAATCTGTACTTGAAACACTGTAGCATTATACATTAGCAATACATTAAAACTTTGCCCTTCTATTGGTTATAAATGATATAGTATGAAACATCATAGAAAATTATTGCCAATTTGTGAAAGAGAGGATGTGACAAATGAGCATGACAAGTGGGTCTTATTTTTTTATTTTATGACTCCATAAACAAACAAGACTGAAGGATATAAAACTTAGCTTTTGCCTTATAATACCTATATTACAATGAGTAACTTACATTAAATCCTGTATTTCATATAGGGGTAGTAATTAAATTATTGAAGGGGGAAGAGCTACAGAACAAATGTCAATTCTCATACTAGGGGAGAATGAAGCTTTTTAAAAATATTTACTTATAAAATTAAGAACCTAAAACTTATATAATATTAAAACTTTATTTATTAACTACATTTTGATGGAAAGTTTATTCATATACATTGATAACAAAGTAGTTCAATTAAAATTTGAGTCTGACTCTGCAAAAGGTCATGACATGTGCACTTTGACCTACCCATAGCAAGAGTAATAAAAAAAACAACAATGTTTTTCATTTCACATGTCAAATACGAAATTATTTTAAAGCATCTTCTGTTATCTGTGGATTGTCTGCTATAGTTTTAAAATTATGCATAAATTTCAAATGAATAAATAAATTTCACAAATGAATAACAATTTTATTTAGACCTAAGAAAAATCAACTAGAAGACAACAATATATAATTATAAATCAAAATATATAAACTTTTAATAAATCTTCGTAGCTGAAAAATTATTTAAATGGGCCTCGTTTTGACTTTAACATAGTTCTAAATAAAGCATTGATTGATATAGTTCAAGTATACAGGTTAGGATCAGAAAAGAGAACTAGTAATCTGAGTGATTTCAGAGTGTATTTTCTGAAAGCATTCAGGTATTGATTTTCTTTTCTAACCCAACTTTTTCTGTTGTTCCTGTTTTTGTATCATGAGTTAAGTATAAAGGTTTTATTACTTAATACTCCATGCTATATTTTATTGTAATATAATTTTTTGAAGTATAAGTACTATTCATATACTTGAAATATATTGAAATACCTTATGGCCAGCAATATTTATTATTTTATTAGTAGAAAATGGGAATCCTTCATCATTCAGGTCTGCATCTGTCAGTGACTGAAGGAGTTCTCGACTGCACATAGAAAACAAATGTGAAAAAAAATCATATAACATACATTCACAAAGAGTGCAAATTATCTTCATCATTGTCATAATATTCTTTCAATCACTTTAAGTTATTGTAAATGAAAAACTGTTTTTACTGAAGAAATCAATGACTATTGAGTATAGTTTTGTTTGTTTAATATATAAAGCTACTAAAACCTGTTTCATTCCATGTATAAAAACTTAAATATGATTCTTTATAAAATACCTTGGAAATTAATACAATAATAATGCAGAAAGCTTTTGAATAACAAGGGTGAAATAATGAATAAAAATGACTAATTATGTAACTTTTTGAACTTTGGAAAATATAAAGTTACTGCTGTTCTGAAAATTACCTTTTTGGACCTTGAATGCTGAGCATGCCCATGTTTTCTGAATGATCGACAAGAGACACATTAAACTTCTGATCTTGAATGACACTCTGAATGTGTGAAAAATTATGTTGGGAAGCTGCTCCAGCTGCTGCAATGTAGAAGCCTCTTCCTACACACATGCACACACAGAAAGCTTGATACAGTTACATTTTGGAAGAAACAAACATAAAATAGCAGTTTTCTAATACATCTAATTGCATGTTTTGAGAAATATTAATGGTTTCACCAAATGTTCTTATATTCTTATATCATTAACTGTTATAGTACCTGTGGCATTCTATGGTATTCAGGCAATCCTTTAAGACAAAAATTCTAAATAAATTACTAGAAGAATGAAAATGTTGAATATACAAGTCATGTTTAAGTTTGCCTCTTAAACACACACAAAAAAGTTCAATAAAATCATATAACTTAATAAAAAAACAATTATTACAAATCAATCTTGAGCAGTTCATGAATAAAACTGATTTTATCCAATAAAGTAACTTGAAGATTAAGGGTACATGTAAAGATGTTTTATGAAAATCACACGTAACAAGTAGGAGAAAATGCTAACAAAGTTTATCATTTTACATTATACATTGTTCTAACATGTTCTATAATGGATCAATAACAAACATTAATTCATTGAGTAACTGAACAGATACAGGAATTCTCACTGGCTAAGTCACTAAAAGACATTGAACTGAGCCACTTATTAATTGTTCACTGCTTCAGTGATTGATTAACTAAATCACTAATTTGAGGATTCATAGTGTACCCTTGTTTCTACATACTGTACAAAATTACTATATTTTACAGAAGCCTTAACTTTCATGATATGGCATCATGTGTCCTCTTAAAAACAAACATCCAAATTAAAATATTAAAAATACAGCTTAAAATGATATCATTGTTATCAATAATGGAAATTTTTCTAATATTCATTTACCTTTGAATGCAGGATCACATGCAGAGCCTTCTCCTGGATGAATACAAGAAACTGTTAAATCAGCTTCAATACCCCCTCTTGAGTTCAGCATACATGTATATATTGTAGATCCTATAAATGACAAACAGTGTTTTAAAGTGTTGTAAAAATGAATTATTTTTCTTTTACTAAGTATATGCTCTTTACCATTGAAACTTTTTAGTTTGTACAGCACCTTTCATGACCATGGTCCTTTATATGAGTTTTTCCTGGGCGAGTGTAGGACATAACAAAAAAAAAGTCTTATTTGAAACTTCTGTGTTTGATCCTAATGTTTAACAAAAAACTAAATCTAGATCAAAAACCATGTTCCAATGATCTCATGTTGTAATAATATATTATCAATTACCTCAGTGGATTTTCTCTTTGAAATTAAATAGAATTACATTGGTATACATCAAAGAGAAAACAAAGTTGCAGATGAAAATGCCAATCAGAAACAAGTAAATTATTCAAGAGATTCCAACTTATTATATATAAAAAATCCAATACAGTGTTGGCTCTAAATTTGTTCAATTGAGCATAACCACAAGAAAGATTACTAATAACATAAACTATAACTTTTTAACAGAATGTGGCACAGTGGCATAGTTTTATACTTTACACATACACTTTTTCTGGAAATATTATATATATACATTTATTTTAAGTTAATTTTAATTTTTAGGAGCAAAACTCACTTTTTGTAGTTGCTTGAGAAGAAAACATTACAAAGGTGACAAGTTTGTTTTATTATTTATATCACGTGAATAAAATATCATAGATTGATTGGTGAATGACTCAGTTGTTGTTTTTAATTATTCAGATACCTTGTACACTAACCAACTACTGTACACGATTTTAAGTAAAATTTTACTTACGGTTATTTTATGCTATATTCAATTTAAACATTTTTATATAGCAATAATGAAGACTTTTTAAATAAGTGTGGTAATAAAATTACCTAGCATCATTTACAAATGTATACTTTCTTCTATATGAGCAAACAAGTACCAAACAGACTACCCCCAATCTAGTAGTCTCCTGACAATTCATGAAGGTTCGAGAAGGACGTGGCGTGATACTAGTCACGTGACCTCGCTGACGCAACACTACCCCTTCCTTAGTATTGTTCGTCTCGAACAATAGCCACTTACATTAAACCAATAACAATAACTTAATTAAATGTACAGAATTACAAACACAAAATTACAATTCAACAAAGTCTCTAAATTTTACGGGACGTATCTTCTTCCGTACTGGTCTCCGTCTCGTTGGCTTCTTCTTCGCGTGGGGTTCATCTGCTTCATCAGGAAATGTTCTATCATTGGTAACAGTCACATCAATGGTAGTAATTTCATCAAGGGCTTCACTGTTTCCCTTCTTAAAACTGAGACGAGATTCTTCTAAGACAGTGGCTTTTTCAGGTGACACATCTTCAACAGCTTCATTTGCTCTGTTGTTCA